GTCACGACCCCTTTGGGGGTCGAACGACCCTTTCACAGGGGTCGCCTAAGACCATCGGAAAACACATATATAATTACATATTGTTTGTGTGATTAATCACTATGCTTTAATTATGTTCAATTTGTAACAATAAAATTGGGGGTCACCACAACATGAGGAATTGTATTAAAGGGTCACGACATTAGGAAGGTTGAGAACCCCTGGGTTAGTACGTCGGCCCAAAGACCAATGGGTCGTGGGTTTGATTCCTAGTCAAGGGCACATACTTTGATTACAGGTTTGATCCCCAGTCCGGCACGTGTGGGAGACAAACCAGTTGATGTGTCTCTCTCATGTTGATTTTTCTCTTTCTTTCGCTCTCTTTCTCCCCACTACTCCCTCTCTTCCACTCTCTCTAAAAATCATATCCTCAGGTGAGGATTAAAAATATATATATGTGTGTGTGTGTGTGTGTGTGTGTGTGTGTGTGTGTGTGTGTGTAATACAAACATGACTTAAGCAAAAAATGAACAGGAAGTTGGTTGATTATTTCTGCTTAAAACCCTGTACTGGCTTTTCATTGCATCCAGAAGAAATTCCTTCCTTGCTTGGCCTTTTCCAGTTCATCTTCCTCAGTTCTTCCTCCCTCATCACAGCCACACTGGCTTCCTGTCCCTCAGACTTCGTTGCTGTCTCTGCTTTTGCACTTGTTTTATCCTTCTAAGAAAGGTTTCCCTCCAGCTCTTCCCATGGCTGCCTCTTCATCCGTCAGATCTTAGATAATGTTCTCAGAGGGGTTTCTTCTGACCACCCCTAAAGGGCCACACCCTCCCACCCCTCCCACCGTTAGCTGATGAACTACCCTCTGAAGATCTGGAATTCAGAGTGTCTTTGAAGTGAAAGCTCAGGGTTGAATGTGTAAGCTACTTAATAGCCTGAACTTGAAGATAGGAATGAAAAGTTTTATATTTTGTAATAATTTGTTAGAAGAAAAACCCCATACTCTATTTCTAGGTCTATTATCATGGAAGCAAAAACAAAACAAAAAACCTGATATCTTAAAAGTTTATTTTCACAGAAAGGATTCCCAGGTCTTTTGCCAGCACCATCCCCACTGGAGTTTAGAGTATTGTCATTTATTTGGGGGAGGGGAAGAGATGGTACAAAGTAGAGTTTTCCTCCTCTTGTTGTTTAGATTATTATTGTGCAGCAAACAATATTAGAAAATATCCAAAGGTCGTACCTTTAAAAAATACTCAGGTTATTCCTGTAGGAATAACCAGGGAAATGTGTATTAAAAAAAAACAAAAAAACTTCTCAGCGAGGCATGGTGATCAGCCAAGTCTGGGGCCTGTTGAAATGCACAGACTCCTCGCCAGATCTGATCAGAATGTGCACACTGCAGTTCTTGCTGTACGTATCACCACCTGTTTATGTGTGACATTAGACAAATATGTCTGCATCTTGGATTTATTCAGAGGAGTTTGTTGGAATCTCTAGAAGGGCCTTGCTTTATTAGTAAGCATCCTCTCACTTAGGACATGGCCTTGTGGCCCCAACACCTGTACAGTGGACATTATTTTGCAAATGGACCTTAAGATTATATTTTAACGAATCAGGGGTTTAATTTAGAAATGTCTAAGGTATATACATTGTAATAGTAAGTTGTAAAAAAAAACCAGTTTAACCAAAGGTATGGCCCCAGAAATTAAACATTAAATAAAATAAAAAGGAGAGAGAGAGAAAAAGAGGAAATTGTGGAGTAACATCTCGGAATATGCCACCAGTTCTCATGATGGAAACATGGGAGCCACCTTTGACACATACCTGTTTTTCTTAGTCACCAATCCTGTTAAAACTGTGTTCTAATTATTTTTCAGGTGTTTTGCCCTATCTCCATTGCCTCTGCTTCAGGCCAGGTGCCATCCTAAACCACTGCACAGCCTCCTATCTCCTCTCAGGTCCGTTCTCCAGCTTGAAGCCCGAGCTTTAGAGAACAACCGAAACCCTTGGTTTTCTTCCTGTTGCCCTTAGGCCAAAGTCCATAACCCTTAACACTTCCCTGAAGTTCCCATTGGTCTGCCTGGCCCCTGGCTGCTTCCGACTTGGCTCTGGACTCCTCCTTCTCTTCCCTGCCTCCTCTCCCCCAGCCACCCTTTAACCGCACTATAGTCATGGGCCATATAATGAGGTTTCTGTCAACAAATACTCCATTAGAATACAGGAGCTGAAAAATTCCTATTGCTTAGTGATGATGTTGTGGCTGTAGTAAGGTGGGAGTGCATCACAATTCCTCATGCAGTTGTGGTGATGCTGGTAAACAGACCTCCTGCACTACCAGCCCTACAAAAGTTCAGCCCATGCAGTTATGTACAGCACTTAACACCTGACTATGGTCATAAAGGGCTGTTACAGGTTTACATATGTACTATACTTTTCATTGTTATTTTATAGTTTACTCTTTCTACTTATTCACAAAAAGTTTTCTGAAAACAGTAGGCCCTGCAGCATCGCTATCTCATATCTCTCTTTCTCTCTCTCTCTCTCTCTCTCTCTCTCTCTCTCTCTCTCAAAT